TCAGCAACACTCAGCAACACTCAGCAACACACAAGCATAAACGGTTCAACGCCTCTTTCTTAGCTTCTCGCGCCACTTCCCTGTTGGATGGTAGCTATCGTTAGTCTGCAGCAACCAAAACGAAGAGAAAAAAGTCTCAATCGTGCAAAACTCCCTCCATCAATCCCTCTTCGTCAGTCTTGGTGCTTGGTTGTTCGAAACTACAGGTGATTATCATTTCTGGGCATCTGTCACGTTTTTGCCTCGCTCTGTTAAGATCAGCAGGAGATGCTTAGACGACAGGTCCACGTTACTTGCGCATCGCGTATACCTCGTAAATAAAACACTAACAATCTCAAAGGAGTTGGGGTGCAGCGCCATGACAAACGAGCTAGACCGTAAGGGGTGTCTGGCCAGGGGCTATAATGCCCATTTTGTCTGCTGTACAAATTGCTAGGTCAATCCCAGCATGCCACGAATGTATTGCACAGTCTAAGGTAGGTAGGTAGGTAGGTAGCCTCTAAATGAGGCTGTAGAAGGGCTTTTCACTGTTGACATCGTCTCTCTCGTCTTGACGTCTAATATTGTATGTATAATTGCTCACCATCGGTAAACCGTTGACCGTTTCACTGTAACAATCCAAACATTATCATTCGTCAACTGAAATCGTGTCTCCCCCAATCAACAGTCATCAATGCATGGAGTTCGCTGTCAAAGTGCAAGGATTCAGTACTTCGCCACTAAGTACCCTCTACATTTTAGAGCCCGTTCCCCGTACACGCAACTCGCTCGCTGCAGCAAGCAAATTTTTAGTGTGGCCGGCGTCGCGCAAATCCGCTCTTCCCGCGCCATTCATTCCCAGTCCCCTTCATCACGAGCCTGGGCCCCCCGTCCCTCGTTTTGGTCATTCACTCACTGCCCTGTAGTATTTGCACCAGCAACTGGCACGCACTGCTACCACTACGCCTCTTCTTTCATCCTTCGTTTTCCTTCTCGTCTCACCCAAACTAACACAATACGAGTCGAGTAGTTATTCACTAGAATACTGCTTGGTCCTGCTCCTACTGTTTTCTAACACTCGTTACTATCTCCCTTTTTTCTTCCTCCTCAGTTCTTTTTTTCCTTTCTTGTCCTTTGCTTTACGCGCCTTCGCTGTTTGCTGCCGCGCGTGCCTTTCGTACTCCTTATCCACATCGCACAAGCCGAGACAATCCAGCGACATTTTGCTCGACTTGACCACCGCTTGCGCCCTCTCCCCTCTCAGACACGACACACTAGAGACCTCTTCTTTATTTGAGACGGTCGCTGCTTTTCCCCATTGGATTTGTCGTTCCTTGTGCCGAACCCTCCCGGGTACTTCTTCGTCTCCTTACACGCCGTCACCCATCACCTCATATCGACGGCTTGATTGAATTGACGACAACACCGACCGTTCAAGATGCAGCTTCGACGATTCTTGCTTCTGGGTATGCTCCTCGGAGCCGAGGCCACTCAACTCGTTGCCCGTCAGAATTCCAACTCCGACTCTGCTGCCGCTCCCTCAACCGATTCCTCTCCCGCGAGTACTGCTGAAGCCGATCCCACGAGCGACTCTGCTGCCACTACTGCAGCAGAAACTACCGCCGCCCAACCTACCGACGATTCTAGTACCGCTGACGGATCTACTACTGATGGATCTTCCGATGGAGGCTCAACCACAGCTGAGGATGTCATCATTACCAAGACGGTGACTGTCACTGATGCCGATGCCAAGACCGTAAGCCGTCAGACTACTGTCATGAAGACAATTACATCCACTGTCATCGTTACGTCGACTGCGTTCGATACCAAGACTGTTACTAGCAGCGACGCTGAGACCGCAACGACTACGACCTACGTTACCTCTACAAAGTGGGCTAACGAGAAGCGTGCCCTTGATTTGGCTCCTCGAACCATTGGTGGTGTTGAACTCGTTGCCCCTGCTTTGCCTACCTATACTACTACCACCAGTGCTCCTCCTCACTTCAACGCTCAAATCGAAGGTGAGCACTACGGTCTCCGAGCCTTCCGACGAGGTCTTCACAAGCGTGCCACCTCCACCACTACTGTTACTGTGACAGAGGGCGGCGGCGACTCCGATACCACTGTCTTCAATACTATTTCTCGAACCGTTATTTCCACCGTTAGCAGCCAGACCAAGGTGACCAAGACCATCACCGAGACCGAGCAGGCAGGTGCTAGTACTACTGTCACTGTCACCAGCACCCTTGTTGTCACATCTACTAGAGTGACCACTGGTGTTGTGCGCACAGCGACCGTTGCTCCTTCTGGAGAGTATGGTCCTTCCGGTACCGGCGGCGCCAGCTCTGATAATAACAGCAGCAGCAGCAGTAACGACGGGGGTCTCTCTACAGGTGCCAAGGCTGGAATTGGTGCTGGTGTTGGTGTTGCTGGCCTTGCCGTCATTGCTGGTCTCGTTTGGTTCTGTCTTCGCAAGCGCCGCAATGCTAAGAACAAGGCCGAGTACGACGATGTCTTTGGCGCCTCCGAGGTTCCTGTTGGTGGCCGTGGTGGTGGCGGCGCTGCTGCTGCCGGTACCAGCCCCCACATGTCCCAGACAACCGCCGCCGCCTCTACTCTGGCTCCCAGCCGCAACACCACCAAGTCCGAGGGCTACCGCGGTACTGCTCTGGGCGATGGACGTGCCGGTTTCGCCAAGCCCCAGCAGTTCGGTCGCAGCTACATGCCCGTTAGCCCCGAGACCAACTACTCTCGCACTGCTGGTAGCGACCAGGCCTATTCAGCTACCACTCCCGAGAACAACTACGCACACCCTGTGGGCGGCTCTCCCAACCACAACGCTGCTGAGATGTACAGCCCTGCCAATACAGCTGAGCTGGCCAGTGACAGCGCTGCTACCAAGTGGCATCAAAATGACGCTGCTGAGATCGATGGCAACCAGGTTTCAAGCGCTCGTGGAACAGCACCCCCTGAGAACGTTTACGAGATGCCCGCACAACCCTACAGGTAAACGATGAGGTTGCCAGTTGGCCAGTACAGTGGTCACTGGTAATGGAATGGATGGATGAGGAAAAATTCAAGATTCGATGAGACTCCCCCTTGTAGCTAGAGGGAGGGGAAATAATTAATGTCAGATACTGTACATATTGTAAACCCTTACTTTTTCTTTCCTTGCGTATGACGAGATCACACATCGGTAAAGCGAACAAGAGCGGGAGATGATGTCTCCCATTGCATGACTTGTATATCTTCCATTGCTACCATTTTGGGTTCAACAGAGGTGTGGATGATTTGAGGTGTTGAGGTGGATTAGATACGTTGATGCAATAAAAAAGAATTAAAATCTGACAGTCTAGGATCTATGTTAACTATCTCCGATCGTCCACATCTCGAAATTAACTACTCTCTGTGCATTTGATGTGAGACACCATTTTAGCTTCTATTTGTTTGTTTGTTTGTTTGTTTATTTATGGTCCAACATTGCACCGTTGGTATCCGGCATTGCTCTTAACGTGATATTACTCCCGCTGATTAATTAAGCTTCAAAGAAACTCAACTCTAGTGGATTTATCCGCTCGATAGATCGACTCAGTCCGCAGATAATAATGTCCGTTATCGGTGACGCCACTTGATGTCGTGCATTCAGAACAAGACATGTGCGTGCAAGAAAGACAAATAGCTCAACCAAGCAACGGGATTCTAATGAGGAATTCGATCATCAAGCTTAATTTTATAGTATATGCATCAAACTCTTTCTCTCCCTAATCATCACGACCTCATGTTGACTCAAGTGACCACAACCCCCAGTTCTGGAACAAAAAAAGGTCGAACCCACTCTTCCTGGTAATCATCGAAACACCCAGAGTCACATCCTATCCTTTATTCTATAACGTTACTACGTACTCCGTACATTACGAGGGAATTAAAAGGCGTATACTCGGCTCAATTCACTCTTGCACAACCGGACAAGTTTCGGATGACCTGACCTGATCTGAAAGCGGAGCTATTACGAAAAAATTCTGAATAGTGTCGTACTATATTCTGCTTCTGTCCTTTTGCCTTTTCTATTTCTTCCGCTGTCCTTCTTTCTTTCTGTCTATCTTTTGCTTTATCCTCCACTTTACAAGTCCTCATGCGCCAAGAATTGCCAAGCACACGCCTAATCTTTTAAAAGATTGTCGTGAGTGGGAGGTATTTCACCCCATTCTCGCTATCATCTGAGGATATCTGCTTCCCTTGCTCGGTTGCATTGAGCAGGGGCTCGTTTTTCTTGCTATAAAGCAAAGAGACTGGGAGGACCCTATTTCGATTGTGAGTTGTTCTTGAAAATCCTTATCAAAGACTGTTACTCATGACTCCTTCAGAGATAATTAGTATGGCTTCGAAAGACGGCCAAGATAGTACGCCCAGGCGTCACAGTCTCAGCGATGAGTCTGACTCCAACTCAGCTGCTGATGAGAAGAGACTTGTTGCGAAGCTGGACTTCTACATCATTCCTCTGGTAATGGTACTTTACCTCTTCAGTTTCCTAGACAGGTAAGTTACACAACTCACTCACTCACCGAGTCCTTATGACTGACTAATTCAAAACGAATAGAGTCAACATTGGTAATGCCCGACTTTACGGACTCGAAGAGGATCTGAACCTCTCATCGAACCAGTTCCAAGTTGCTGTGTCCATTCTGTTCGTCACATACTTGCTCTTCGAGGTTCCATCCAACCTTGTCCTTAAGCTCTTCACGCCTCGTCGATGGATCGCGTTCATTGCTGCTGCATGGGGAATCATCGCCACCCTCACCGGCCTTGTCAACTCATACGGTGCTTTAATCGCTTGTCGGTTGCTTCTTGGTGCTGTTGAAGCAGGCCTGTTTCCTGGCTTGACGGTCTATCTCACTTTCTTCTACACCAAGAGAGAACTCGCCCTTCGCGTGGGTTATCTGTTCGTTAGCGCTGCAGTCGCTGGAGCTCTGGGTGGTTTGTTGGCATATGGCATTGGACATATGGATGGCCTCCATGGTATGAGCGGTTGGCGATGGATCATGATCATTGAAGGAATCCCGAGCTTCTTGCTTGGCGTTGTCACATACTTTGCTCTGCCAAACGATGCAGAGACAGCATACTTCCTCGACGAGAATGAAAGGGCGCTTATGCGTTCGAGACACGCCCGTGAGTACGGGAACACGGCTTCCAGTCGTGAGTTTAGCAAGAAGGACATGATGTGCGCCTTTAAGGACTGGAAGGTTTGGGCGTTTTGTGTTGCGCAGTTTGGCGTCGATACTATGTTGTATGGTGAGTTTCGATATCCCCCAACCTAGCACACAGTCCACTGACTGACAAACGTAGGGTTTTCAACCTTCCTCCCGACCATTATTAGGGATCTCGGTGACTGGACGGTTGCAGAGACACAACTCCTAACCGTGCCATGCTACTTTCTCGGTGCAGCGACGTATATGTCGACCGCATTTCTCTCAGATAAGCTTCAACAGCGTGGAATTTTCTGCGTGATCTTTGGAGTCATCAGCGTTGTTGGATATGCAGTCCTGCTGGCTGATGTGTCTTCTGGTGTTCACTACTTTGGCTGCTTCCTGGTAGCTGGAGGCTTGTACGTTGTTGTGGGCTTGCCACTGGCTTGGGTAAGTTAATATGAGTACGATGGTAAATTATAGCGAGCTGACTCAGTTGTTTAGTTGCCCACAAACTCGCCGCGTTACGGAAAGCGTACTACTGGTACGGGAATGCAGTTGACTTGGGGTAATGCGGCAGGCATCATGTCTGCGTTCATCTAGTAAGTCCCGATACTGACTGATATCGTGACTTCTGCTAACCTTGGCCAGTCCTGCCTCAGACAAGCCTCGATATATCCGCGGACATGCTGTAACGCTCAGCATGGTTGCTCTCGGCACTGTCATCTATGGATTCATGTGGTGGTGGTACCGACGAGAGAATGAGCGACGACAGGCAGGTCTCATGGACGACAAGTTCCGAGGAATGGGAGAGGATGAGTTGGCTGAGCTTGGAGATGAGAGTCCACGTTATAGATATACCATTTAGAGGGGATCTGATAAGAGGATAATGAGAACTCGGGGTTATGAGGGACGAGATCGAGATGACGGAGGATACTATATGAAAGGGATATACATAATGAGAATGGCTGTTGATTACCGATGGAAGTAGACAGAAATAACGGTTTGAAGATAAAATACGTCCTTTAGGTAGAGATGACTGATGGTTCAAAGCAGAGCCTCGGGGTAACTAACACCTAACACCAAGGAGAAGTACCGGAACTAAACGGCGCTAATATCCGTTAATAGTGGCTTGATGAGGTGCATGGTTCCATCGTTGCTGGGGGAGTTTCACATGGTTTAGGAGAGCAATTTATTGGTCAGTTGCATTTGGTATTTATCATGTATCATCGAACCACAACTCGTGTTGTTGTGTTATTATTTACAACTTCAGGCTGTTTTACTGTACCTACTTAGTCAGTTAGAGGGATTGCCAGCACGTCCAGCTCAACTGTCGTTGTTGGGGCTGTGTACGTCAGCTGCTGAATGGTTGCCATGATCCATCCCTCAAGCAAAGGAAGTGGTGTCGTGTAATAATGGGGCCAGTGCGTGCATATTGAATACGAGGTCTGGGCTGTGTTGAAGAATGTCGCCTGAAATATTGTCAACAGTTGAAGACACTGAAACTAGGCTGTAGGTCTTGGCCATTCAGTATCGTTGTAGTGAATAGCTTTGAAGTGTAGGTACTCTCCCGTGTTGAGGTGCTGGCTTGCCCAACCTCCTGTACCTATGATCAGTCAACTCTCCTGTTGTTGATACTACCAGTAAGTACTAACCTGCCAGGGCAGGCTGAGCAGCACATGTCATCAGACTCCAGTACCGTTACCGGGCAAGAGTAAATAAACAGCCCAGATACCAACAGTCTCGCCACTCCTGATTAATCGATCCTCCCTGAGACTTTCAATCCATAAGACACGCTCATTCTCAGTGGAATAATGCAAATGTACTGTACCCCAGGATCACAGTGGACATCCATTGGCACTAGCGGACCCTTGTTTCCAAATTTAGGTGCCCAAGTCATGCCCTAGCGTCGAAAAACGGAGGCTTAACAGAGGCTACCGACTCTTCCCATGTTCCCCTGTTTTCTTCCATCCAATGTCTCCATTTCCATTTCCACTTGCTTCTGCTTCTCTTTCTTCATCCTTACCTTCTAACTAATTCCTTCTTGGCTGCTATTCACTTTCGTTACTGACCAACTCAGTCCAAAGTCTCTCGCTTGTCTTCTCTGACAGTTGCAATCTATACCACTTCTTCTATATTCGATCGTTATCTTGGTGTATCCCCTAATCCTCCACTGATCGATCGACTCAACAATCCATCTTCAACACTCAATAACCCGACATCATGCGTTTCTCCAAGCACGTCCTCCCCATCGCCATCCTCCTCACCGGTGTCATCGCCGCCAAGGACGAGGAGTCTACCACTGCCGTCGAAAAGGCCAAGGCTACCGACGACAAGGCCTCCGCGACTGCCGACGACTCCAAGACAGCGGACGCGACAGAAGAGGCTTCTGCAACTGCTACCGGCAAGGATGACAAGAAGGAATCAAAGACCGACAAGTCCGATACCAAGTCTGCCACAAAGGAGAAGTCGGCTGCTTCTCAAACCACGGCTGATGGACCCACGATTACCTGGGACCCTCCTGCTCCCAAGACCACGGTCCCTGATATCAACGCTGGCTCTCCTTCACCCATGACTCCTGGTGTTGTTGTTCTGTCGTTGGTGCTCGGCATCACATCTCTCGGAATGGCTCTGCTGTAAGAGTATCTGCCATCCTCCTTAGAGATCATTGCACATTTCAGCTTCTGCAGTGGTTCTTCTTGGCAAGCGTTTTCTGGTTGAACGGGGTTTGTTCATTTTATTTCACATGATTGTGGCGCTATACGGAATGTCAACGGCAACGGGGATTGGCGATGTTTCTCTGGCCTGTAATTTGGTGGATGGACGCGTATGTTTGTGGCGCTCAGATAAGCCATTTGTTTCGGGGGAAAAAAGATGCGAGATTGCGAAAGGAATAAGAAGGTTATGGGAGAAAAACTATCTGGATCAGCACCTGGATCTGGAAGAGCATTGCATTGGAGTAAAACTGTTGATATAAGTAATTGGGTCAAAATGAAAAGAGTTTCTCGACTTCTTGATCTGCTGTCGCCGGAATGAAATCTGAGCTCCCCCGGTGCCTTATTCGTTTTAGAGCCACCCTTTCGTTAGCTGGGGCACGGGCACGGGCATGGGCATGGCCTGATGCCATAGGTAGCCCTGACCTATCTGCATAAACTTGATTGTAGGGCGAGTGTAAAACATATCCTCACAGGGTGAGAGATAAGCCACCAATATATGTTCAACGTCGGGCAGTATTTACCGTCCGTATCCATTGATTTTAAGTATCATCGAGGGTCCTGGAGTCAGAGAATTGGCATCATAATTCCCGATTCCAAGATACCGATGCTCCCTGGCCAATCACGACATCTACAATCGACGTCATAATCCATCCACCCTTTGTCGGCCCAATCACTTGACCCCTCCCCCTCATTCCTCCGAGTACAGCTCCCATCTCCAATCGCATGGTTCTAGCGCCTGTTGTGCCTGTGCTGTAGGGGGTTTTCAGTAGGTTCACGGCGCACTGTGCCTTAACTTAGGTAACTAGACATGGCAAGTCGCAATGCATGTCTTGCATTCATTCCTCTTGCCCAGCCCAACCAACACAACGAAGCTGAACTTGCGATAATACACTTTTTCCCACTCTCAATTCCCTACGTCCTTTTCTCTTTCTTACAACAATCGCCGTCACTCGAGCATAATCAAGCCATCACCGACGATAGTGTCACGCAATAGTCTTCGTCGTATCCTTCGCCTGATATCAGCAGGCGCCTAACTTCCTGAGCGCCGTTGACGGCGAAACTCTCGATACCTGACGTCGTCTCATACCATCGCATCCACATCCACTTCTACGACCACCGGGAGCTCTTGTGCAAAGACAATACCCATTGCGTTTCAGTCGGGCAACTTCTCACTGCCGAAACGAGCTATTATCATCATGGCGCAGACGCAGCCTCCAACCTTCATCAACCTCCCGCCTCCCACCTCCAGACCAGAGACCCCCTCTGAGATGCCGTGTGTTCTTCCTTGCTCCTAGCATTGCCTATCATTTGGTGTGATGCCTTTGCCCCTGAAACTTGCCCACTGACATCGTTGCCCGTCTCAGAGGCACTCCTACAAGCACCACTACCTCGCTTTCCGCCCTATCCACCACTGCGATCAAAGATGGTCATCGAGGCCACTTCCCACAGGGCCCTCTTAGTCGCGGACACCAACATAACCCTTCCACCCAAAGCCTCGAGGCTGAACGTGCCGACCGAATTTCCCGACTCGCTGGTCTCGAGCGAGTTTCAACCCTCCGGGCACCCCCTCAAGCGAACGCCCAAGGAGCATCATCTCCCTCGCCTCAAACCACGCCAACCTCTACAACTGGGTTTCCGCCCAACTACCCGGCTACACAGCACCTGACACCTGCATATTTCGATAGCAATGGCCAGCCTGTCGCCGTGACCAAGATGAGTACTGTCGGAACGGCCAGCGCAACCGAGAGCCATGTTGGCGATGGCGATGATACGCGCACAACTGCCGGCGAACACGACGAAGACATGTTTAGTACCGATACCAACTACCGTGAAGCCGAGTCAGTCGCAAGCATGGGTGGCTATCCCGACGCTATGGACGAGGATCTCGATGGCGCCAATGCTCGTTCTGTGGCTGGTTATGACGATCGCATGAGCGATGACGGCTCTGCCTCTCTTGTTGGATTTGGTGAGGGTGCGGGCAGTACCGTATCTGGGCCCATCTATCATCGTCGAACCGCCCCCCAAGCTTGGGGTCTTGAAAGAACCAATTCCGGTCTGAGCGACGCCCGGCGGGAGCGTGACACTCATATGGGCGGTGACACGCCTGTGAGTATGTCTGCACTTCAGGAGCGCCGGGACGCTCGCATGATGGACGGTGTCGCGACTGATCCGAATCCAGGACAAGCACCAGAGAACGACTCGTTTGTTGACACAACCTTCCGAGGCCCTGTCTCTGCGTCGCAACCCCAATCACAAACTGCTGCTGCTCAGGAGGCGGCAGAGCGTATTGTCCAGAGGTTGGATAGAGGTGAGACAAGGGCGCCTGCTTCGGGTCTTGTAGGGCCTGGACGGGGTGATGAGCCTTTGGGCAAGTTCTACTTTGAAGGCGAGAAGCGTGATGATTAGAGCGGTTATTACATCAAAAGAGAAATCCCAACTGAGCCTTCATCTGCAAGGGTGATGATGACTCCATAGCTGGGTTGAAGGGCGATGTCAGGCACGAGGAGCTTGAGAGATATGGTCATAGTTCTCATGCTGTGCTTGTCCTCGGAAGGAGTTTCTATGTTTTAGACTATATGCGCGCCCATCGCTGTCCCGCCAGTTTCGTTTATATGTCGATATTTCGTTGGGGCCTTCCATCTTGGAATGTGGCCTTTTCTGCTGTACAAACACGTCCTCTTCAGCTATTGGCTCTAGTACCTGTGTACAGAGTATTTTGTTCCTTTTGTGAGTATGTCACGATGCAATTGGGGATTGATTGGACGTTGGATGGTCTTCCAACGTTGCCGAGGTCAGTTTAGATCCTGGCACTTTACTTCATGTTATTATGGTCAAAGCCAAAGCATGCTGTATTATCAGCATGCCCGTTGTACCTGGTCTCTAAATATGACGCCGCTATCTATTCGCCCCAAACTGTGTGACCATGCTCCGTGCACTTCATTTGGCAGATATCATGAAACTAAGTCAGCGAGAAAGAATTGCGTTGGTCATGGCTTTGGGCACACCCTGCCTCAAAAACCATCGCTCGTTCTGTAAGTGCATCTGGCCAGAGATAAAGGCCAGCCCCATCAACTAGGTGGGTGAACTTGGTCTTGGAGCGGGCTAATCGCAACACTCCTCCCGGACAAATGCCATCCAAAGTGTTCAATGA